TATCTGAACTCTCAAAATGAATTTGTGTTGTTATTAGGTTTATAACTTCAAGTGAGAACCTTGTCCAAGCAATAATATTGTTTGATCAAGACAAGAATTTTAAATGATGACAAGTATTTTGGATTGATGTATTTTTAACTGCTTAAGTAGTTAAATAGATCCTTGTTACTATTGAGCTATTTCCATTATGTTTTGTTGTGGTTTAAGGGATCATTTTGGTTATAATTCTTTTGCAATGTTATTTTTTGGTCACAAAAGAAAACATCTAATGGAACTTCAAATTGATGATATTTTGGCTAAAATTATGATTTGTTTTTAATATATTTTTCTTGAAAAGAAATAAAAGTATCAATCTTTAGTTTCCAATGAAATCTATAAATTCTTGAAGAGGACCTCTTGACTAAGAGCTTGTGTTGCCTTTCAATTGCCAGGCCAGGACAATCATATTCAATCAGTATAATTAATTGAAAACTTCATAGAAATCATTTAAAATAACCAACTCTAGAATCACAAATAAACCCAATCAACCAAGTTGTCATGATAACTAAATTCATCATCAAGATAGAAAAGAGTTAAAAAGAAGATTGAAAATAGATTGAAAATCTTGAAATTACCTAAAATAAAAAATAAAAAAATTAATTTCTTAAACTTTTTTAGGGTAATACAACTACAAAGAGAGAAAAACCCTGATGCTTTGTTTTCCTCTTCACTTTAGGATACCTAAAAAATCCTCTTTCCTGCTTATGCATTGGAATACCAGGATCCCCAAATCTTTATCGAGTTGCTACTTGACTCCAACACAATATATAATCAATAATATCTCAAAATGATAACTCATGGCCATCCGCCTCTGTAACTCCTTTGTGGAAAAAGATGAGGGAATCCCTCTAAACTTGTGGGAAGCAAAGTAAACAACTTTTTATTTTCTGTCGAAATGTCAATGGCTTTAGTTTAACATTAAATGCTTGCTTCTATGTGCTAATGAGTTGGATAACTAATGTTGATGTGTTGTTTTTTTATTGGTATGAGATACCATTAAGGTGATATACCCTGATATTCTAAACTTTCTGTTTTTCCACCATCTATGGTTTTCCTCTCTTTCCATCTAAGTAATATGTATTTTGTTTTCTTATACATCCTCTCTTTCCATCTAATTAAACACACACCCACACACAAAAGAAGAAAAAAAAAGATGTATTGCACTTCTCAAGGGTTCAATTATTGACACACATAATTTTGTTAATGTTACACAAAAACCAATCTTTCTAACAAACTTATCTCTCTTCTTTTTCTTTTTCCCTTTTTTCTTTTTTTGGTTTTTAATCAAAACATTAGTGGTTGAGTTAGTAATCCAATATAATCTAACCCTACATTTTGGTCTGTAGGGTAAGGTATCCTCATCGTTAACCAATTAAAAAAATGATGTCCTCGTTTCAGAATTATTACTACCTTCAACCCTACATTTGGTGAAAGTTTGTTTCACAGCTGGTTGGAGATGGCAAGTTGCAGAGCAACCTTGTAAATAATGTAATGGAATAGAATGATTAAAAATAAGCCAAAAAAAATTGATATGAAACCAAAGAAAAAGTAAGAACAAGGAGGATGCAGATGCTCCAATTTCTTTTGGGGTTTTCATTTTATTATTGTATTTCCATTCCTTTCCATAAGAAATAATAAATAAAAAGTATTGTTATAGGATAATTTTTTTATTTTATTATTTTATATAATTTTTACATATTATTAAATAAATAAATATATTTAATATTATAAAACATTAATTATTTTAATAATATGTTAAGTTTTAAAACAAAAATATTAAAAAATCATTTCCCATAAATAAATAAAGAAAATGCGGCGATTTACCATTATCATTATTACAGTCATTTCTTTGATTCTCTCTCTCTCTCCCCAAACAAAAGCAGAGCAGA